TCAAAGTGGGATGGGGCAAATGAAAGGAACCTTAGGCTTTGAGTCAAAACATAGAGGTGCTGGGATGATTGTTTTTCTATGTCAGAGAAAGGTTGAGCTCAAAAGTCAGTTTGAGTAATGTTGAGCTTTTATACCAAAAAGTATGAATGAAGTCAAAGACAAGCTTGAAAAATAATGATAAAAAGCTGAGTCGAGAGACAAAGCCAAGGAAAGACAGGTAAATGTAAAAAAAAAACAAATTATATAATCAAAGACAAATTTAGAATAACTACAAATGCTAATTAGACACTTTGAGAATTAATGGTAAAGCTCAGGCCTGAAGCCAAAAAGGTTTGTACAACAGTAGAAAAACTTGTATGTATTGTAATATAGATAAAGAAAACAAGAAATTCTGTCAATATTTGCAACCCATAACTACCTGTATGGCCTGCTTTGTGATTGAAATAAGTATATTCGACAAATTTTAGAGATTAAGTTCAGTGGGTGATTTTCAAAGTAGGCAAGTCCTTCCTCTTTGCAAGATGGGTGCAATAGTACTTTTTTTGTCTTTTAATAACTCTGCAATACTATGTTAAGTAAATAGTAACTCAAAGATCCTGGGACAATCTTAACCAAATTTTAAATGGGATTTGTCTTCTAAAGTGATCTGGATAAAGTGTTTTTGCTTAAAGTTCCTTTTTGCTATAAAATATAAGTAAACAAAATGTAGATAAACATTTTGAAGATTTTATCTTTTATCATATCTAAAGATTGATGCACATCCAAGATTACAGCAGCTGGTATTCTCAAGTGGCTACTTCGATGGGTGATGTGCTGGTAATATGATGGATAATGGCTCAGAATAAGAAATTGGAGAGCTGTGTTTGAATTCCAGTTGGGTTTGTTACATTTACTTATGCACAAATAACCTTGTAAAAGATATGAATCCATTTCTTCTCCCTCTAGCTATGGATTGAATAGTAATTCAGACTGGGCCCTAAAGCCTTGGTTGGCAACCAGTTTACTGCAGAAAATAACAGCAACCTACTGTCAAATTAATCATGAATCGAAAAGAGACATCATCACCCAAGTGTGCATCACGGTGACTCCCTTAGGAAGGAAGGTTTGATTTAAAGCATATATCTTTCTCTTTAGTACCAGTCAACACCCAGTGGAACATTGCTAGTATTACTGCTGTGGTTTCCACAGTAAATAGGCTTTTACAGGGTGGAATTGCCAGCCTCATGACGAACCAGGTTTTAATTCAGAGTTGTCCTACTACTAGACTGGTTAAACAGCCAAAGTCTGGCTTGATATTTAATCCAATAATTGTGAGAAGTAGATTTATACATCTGCCAAGAGTATTTGTATGACAGTGACCTTAACTGGAATTTGAACTCAGAATATCAATCCTACTCTCTGTACCAATAACTACTATGCTATACATACTCACACACATACATATCTTCTGAAGTACATATACAGTAATTACTTTCACTGATACCAATTCTCAAAATCAGATTAGAATTATCCTCATTAGAACCAAACTAATAATGAATTTCAAAGAATCTTAAAAGTCAAAGTAAAATTTATACTTTTTTAAATTCCTGATCATCAATTGGTCTATGAGAAAATGGCTTCGCAATATTTCTTAAAAAACAAATTTCTTTACCAGAATGACTCCCAAGAACTGATTAGTATAAATGTAACTTCCATGTTTTTATTATAAATACCAGCTGACTGATTTCAAACACCTACAAATATATTATTATTTACAACATTAAAAATATATTACCTACTTGCTAACACCCAGCCAGGTCTACTGAAGATGATTTATATAACAGACCCTGGAATAATATATAATCTCCATGAAGAAATGTTGAAAAGTTCTTAACACAACCAAGAAGGGATCCTCTCCCAAATAATTAGTTTCTGATGTCTGGCCATTTGGCCAGAATTTTTGTGAAGTTAATTGGATAGAGAATGTTTCAGCCTCCATCTCTCTCTCTATAATATATATATATATATATATATATATATATATAGATATATATATATATAGAGAGAGAGAGAGAGAGATAGATAGATAGATAGAAAAAAATTAACATTGAAGTCAACACTCAGAGGCGACAGGCTGTTTCATACTAGACTTAATCATCAAGCCTGACGATTGTGCCCAGCATGTAATAGCCTGTGAGTGTTGACTTCAATGTTCACTTTTATATTTATATTTACATACGCTCTATCTCTGATACTGAGCACTTTATTCTATAAATACAGCACACTTTAAAACTATATTTGATATTTCAGATCAACCTCGATCTTTGTTCAGAAATAACTGTTTTTAGAGGTTTGTTTACAAGTAGCGTCCGTTGCGAGATGCAGACGTCATGTGATATGGAATGTCACTGTGTTCAAATATTTTTAATGTAAATCTAGCTGTAATAATATTTTAGATGTTGTTTAAAAAATTTTTTTAATTATATCTAAAAAAATGTTTAACTATTGAAATATTTATAAAGTTTATATAGTTTATATGTATTTAATTTTAAAATCCAGTATTTTTCTTTTTTTCTGCGTGTGTATGTGGAACTGAAATCAGAATCTATCAATAAACATTTACAGTTTTCTATTGAGTGTCCTGATTGATTAAAGTGTTCAGCTATGGGGGAGTAAGGATTGTTTTGATGTATGGTTTGTTTATGATTGTTGAAGCAAAATCTAAAATTATTTCCAGATTCACCAATATATCCACTATTGGGACATATTGTGCAGAATAAATAGATTATGTTATGGCTATTACAGGTAAGGCGAGGTGGGTGTATCTTGATATTGGTGTTGGGTACAGAAAATACATTATCTATTAAGTGTTTGCAAACTAAGCAATGAGGTTTGTTACATATGTAATTTCCTGATTGGTTTGTATTGTTTAGATATTTGGTATAAATGAGGATAGCTGATAGGTTATATATATATATATATATATATATATATATATATAAAATGTAGATCTATTTAAACTCGGAGGGTGAAAAAAACCTGAATAGCAAAATTTTCAAACAAATTGGCATCTGAGGAAAAATGGAAAAAAAAGAAAAAAAAAAGAAGAAAGCACCAGAAACCTCCACACAGGGCAAAAGAAATTGTCCAGTACCTTAAATCTCTGGTACAAAGAAAAAAAACCCAGCAAGTAATGAGTTAAAATGAAGAGTGCTCAATAGATTAAGTAGAGCAAAAGTAAAATAAATAAATCCTTATGAGCCATGTACTACCTAGCTAGGTTTCAGCAGATAGGATCATCAGGGTGAAGCCAGTTTTAAATTCTTCATATAATATCTTTCTAATTTTATTGATTTTAAAGTAAGTAGAGTTCTTTAAAACCATAAGTTCATCATCTCTGTATAAACCAATGTCAGTTGTATTAATTTCACAGTACCCTGTGAGATTGTATAGTATAAAAAGACCTATAAGGTCAGAAGACTCAGCTGAGTCTAGTGATCCCATTGTGATGTCAAAAATTGTTATGAAAATATCGGTATTGATACACAAAGGTGAGCAATGGATAAAAAATTCTTATGAAATCACTTTGACATCACAATGGGATCACTAGAAATGGAAGAGAGATGTTGAGAATTTTAAATTTAATTAGTATTATTGTTATTTTTAATGTGTGTTACTTGAAGGAGGTTTATATTCTATTACCTGCCATAATAATTGTCATAAGGAAATAAACAGAAAAACCTCAAGGAATTTAAATAAAAGGTTTTATGAACACAAAAGGAATCTATTACATGACAACACATTAAATGCATTAGTCACTACTCTAATTAAAATAGAAAACAATTTACTGAGACAAAAATGTTTAGAACGTGTTTTAATTGCTAGATATCCACAGTATGGTATGTGTATGGTATGCATATGTATATATTATGAAATGGACAAAGTCTGACAAATATTTAAGACATTTTTTATGTTTATATGTTCTTTTTATGGATACAAATATGTAAGTAAATGCTCTGTTTATAATAAACAGTATTAAACAACATTTAACGTCCTGAATGTCCAGGAAATTTTCATAGAAAATATGTGTCCTCCAACAGGAATTGAACGTGTATCCTATACGAAACTGTCATATAGTCTGACGTGCATTTACCGATTGAGCCACAGTGGAGAATTTCGGATAGCAAGGTCAATTTAATTTATATGAGAAATAATAATTACACAATATTTATTGTAGTTTTACTGCAATATTATGTAATGATAATAATGACGTGACTCATCGTGAATGTGTAATTAGGTTCACGTTGCATTCTCAGAATGCAAGGTTTGCCGTTTTTCAGAATTTTCATAAATTTAATTTCACCATTAGACATTTGAACTAGTTTGTCTACAACACACTTGTATATCATTATAATGGGGCCTCACATCAGTGAGGGGGCCGGTGTGCAACTGAAACTGAGAGGAAGGCCCCAAAACAGTGCACATTCTCTCCTGATGACCCCAGTTTAAATATAAATTCGAGAGAAACACATCAAAAGAAATTCAGTGAAGTCATATGCCGTAGAGAAGCTCAGTGGAAGTGTTATTGGCATGAGGAGCATTACGCATTCAGCTCGCTTCAGGTGAGTTTCAATTACTTTCCAGGAATTTCCTTCTTCTAGTCTTACATGCTTTACAATTAAGTGAAACCACATTTAGTGAGAGGAAAATATTTTTAAGCATCTTAAATTAAGGCAAAGATTTTGAATTCTAAATAAGCAGAAAGTGAATTTAATCAAAATTTATTACAGAATGAATGAAACCTCTGAATTACCAGTATACTTTTCTAAGGAGGTGCTGCAAAGTTCTTGGTTCAATCTATACTCCAAAATTTGATGACATGAAAACAAATAATTCAGGTGTAGTGGAGGAGGATTCTTTCTTGGCCAGGTTGATAACTTTTCAGCAATTACTAATTTTCATTTGGTTTTCTTTTTTTTCTTGTTTTCGGGAATATGACATTACTTTTTGTACTTTGTTCG